TTCTGCCAAATCAGTTTAGTCTTATTGGTTCTCCTTTGTAGCTAACTACCTGCCCGCCTCTTCTCCTTTGTAGTAACTACCACCCGACCTGTTCTGGTTACCTAGTACTGCTCTGACAAGAATATACCACAAACGGGATGGGCTTAACAAACAGGAGTTTATTCTCTTACAATTTGGAGACTTTAAGTCCAAATTCAAAGTGCCAGGCTCTAGGGGCTGGGTGAAAGCCCCTCAAACCTTGGGCTTTGGCTCTGCCTCCAGCTCCCAGCCCACTGAAGCTAGAGGCTTTTCTTCACTCAGACAGCTGCAGGCTGCTAAGTCCAAGGTTGACAAGTAAAAAGGCACAGTCCCAATGTTACCAAACCACATGGCAGGCCATTAATTCAAGTCCATTGTAAGTCCCCAGATCAGCAGAGCATGACAGGCTGCTGAACAACATGGCTACATGCAGGGTCCAAGCGTGCCATAGCTAGAGACCATTCCCAAAGCTGCTTCTTATATACAGGAAGCAGACCACATACCCAAAGCAACTACTCAGCTGCTTGTGGTAGATCCCACCATGGAGTTGATTGCCAGTCTCATCATGGGGAATAACTACCACCAGCTGCCCAGCCACTCAACCAGGCCCAGCCAAATTGACACACAATCACCACCCCACCCCACAAGTTGCTTTTAAGATTGTCTTTGGGTTTAGAACATTTGATTGTGGTATGTCTACATGATTTTCTTTTGTGGTCTATCTCATTTGGGATTTGCTGAGCTTCTTGAATGTGCATTTTCTCATCTTTCAAAATATTAGGGAAATTATCTTCCAACTAATCTACATTTTTCTTTGTGCTTTTGTCTCTTCCTGTTCTGGAGTTCTGATCAGTTAAGTTATTCCTCTTGTTGGTGTCTCATATAATTTTTATGCTTTCTTCATTTTTAGTTCCTTTTTCTGATTGTTCCCCTAACAGACTGTTGAGATTTATAGTCACGTAAGCTAATTCTGTTTTCCACTGATTCAATTCTATTCCTCTGCCCTTCCAGTGTTATCTATTTCTGAAATCTTAGTATTAATCTTCTGTATTTTTACTTGCTATTTTTGTATGGTTTCCAGTCTTCCATTTGTCAATTGTTACTGTATTGTCTTCTTGAATTCTTCTAGAGTTTTCTTTGTTTTCCTTCATCTGTCTCTCAACCCATTGAAGGTACCTAAAAATAATTATTTTGAATTTATCAGGTAGACCCAATGCCATTTCTAACTCAGGAAGTTTTCCTAGCTGTTTTAGTTTCTTGTTACCCTTTCCAGTTTGTGTGAACTGAGGTTGTCTGTTGTCTCAACACATTGTGGTGTCGTATTTGTATTTATTGGCTATACATTGACATGTTTCACCCAGTTTTCCTTTTGCTTTATTTTGATATATCCAGGTGTGGGGCAAGCGTGCTACTCTACTTACAAGAGTGCCCGCACTTAGATGCTCACCACTCATCTGGTGGATGTTATAAAGGATAGGAGTATGTGCAGAGTTCTGTTCCTGTAGAGCAGTTCAGGGTGGGCTGGGTTGGCATTGACCACCATCTGCAGTCAATCAGGTGATAGAGGAACGGATGGCTGCACTCGCCCAGTGTATGAGGTTACAGCAAGTGTGGGTGTGGTTAGTATAGACCCATCTCTCCTTGGGTGGGGGTAGAAAGGGGAAAAAAAGATTAAAAGAAGCAAAAAAAAAAAAAAAAAAAAAGAAAGAGGAAAAAAAAGAACACAGAAATGGAGGGGAAAAAAGGTGGGGTGGCAAGGCACCTGGTCAGCGTTTCTGCCAACTGAGGAAACAGTAGTGGGGTAAAGCGTCTAGTCTGAGTCAGCACTCTGTCAGCTGAGGTGCCATGGTACCCAGACTAGGACAGTATTTCTGTTGGCCTAAGCACTAGGGATAAGGATAAATGGTCTGTGACTGCTTCTGCTGGTCTAGGACCCAGCTGGGGGCAGGGCACCTGGTCTGGGAATGTGTTTTTGCAGGCCCAAAGGGGCAGAAAGCACATGCCTCCAAACATGGGTGTGGGGGTCCCAACAGTGCCCAACCATATGGGTATGCTACCAATGCCTAGGCAGGGCAGGGGTGTCAAGGGTTGGGGTTGAAGATAGCCATACTCTGGGTCACTGGGAGGGCATGGGGAATAAAGTGTGCACCTTTGTGGTCAATGCCACAAGTGTGGGGTTAAGTGGAGCTAATTATCAGTTTGCTGCCCTGAATGGAAGGCTGCTTGGGGGGAAGGGGGGAATTCAAAACGGCAATGCTGTGTTTGGTGAGCTAATTCACCAAGCCCTTGGTCTCCTTGTTCAGTTCCTTCTTCTGTTATTTACTTCTTTATCCTTTCTTTGAAGCTCACGTAACAGGATTATCATCTATGTATGTCTCATTTGGTTTCTTGGGTTTTTGTAGGTCTGGATGGCTCATCTGCCTGTTTGCCATCTTGCCCCCAACCATCATTTTTAAGGCTCTGTTCCCTGCTGGTAATTACATATGTTAGTTAATACTTTCTAATTTAGGGTACCAATGAACAGCAAGTAGACAACCTATCCCCAGACAAACCAATGAGGTAAATTGACTTGCATTAAATTTCATAATCAAAATGCAAAAAAACTTCAGTTAATAAATCAGATTTATTCAATAAACATGGATTTATTTTAAATCATTTTGGTACATGATACAGATTGGTTTTGCAGTTTTGAGTGAACTAAAATAGGAATTTCTAAATACAGCAGTTGTCTGCCTGCCTGTGCAACAAATATCCATTAAGGTAAAATAAGCTATTTGACAAAACTACATCTCCATGAACAAATCAGATGAAAAATCTCAAAAGGTTTCTATAAACCTTCTGGATTAAAAAACCAGAAAAATTTTTATGGCTCAAGATATTATTAAATTCCTAAAGAAAAGGGAGAAATGGATCTGAAAAGGCTTTGAGTTCTGTTGTAAGAGGTCTTCTGTGGATGTGTGAAATCTAATTTCATATGATTGTTAAAGTGGTGCACAAGATTACATTTGAGAGACTTCAAATCAAGCTACATCTTCATTAAACTTGCTGTATTGTGTTGACATAAATGTGTGGCAAAGTATTCCTACTCAGGTGAATGATGATTATGCCACTACAACTAATTTTTTGCCCCTTTGAAGGGAATGGAAATTCTGTGTATTTTCAAATGAATCTTCTATCACTCACTAACAGCCATGGCACCATACAAAAAAAATTTGAGGTTCCCAGAATATTAAAGGAAACACAAAAATGTAAGGTAAACTAACCTACCTTTTCTCTAAAACCTTTTAGCCAGAGATTTTAAACAATTAAGGCACTTGAAAACATTAGGTGTATGTACAAATGTGCAAGTAAAACAAACTTTAGCTGTACCAGCAAGTAACAAAGAAACAGTAAATGTTCATTTCAACAACTTTTAATACAACTACCTAAAGGCAAGGAATTTCAGTTTTCAAAATGGACCAAAGCGATTTATCACTTTCTACCATAAAATATGGAAAACCAAGTGCTAATAACCTCAGCCACTAAAGGCTAAAAGGAACTAAAACGAAAAACTTCAATGACCTAGAAAAACAAAAGACCTATTTCAAACTATTTTAAGCCTGTGAACTAATCCAAAGTGTCAGAAGCAAGGGACAGTTAACTCTTAATTTGTTCTAAAACCAATGGGGGTGGAAAGACTAAAAAACTAGAGCTTCATAAGGAAACTACAAAAGTACGCATGTTCTTTATACTATGGGAATTGAAACCAGCAAGAATGCGAGGGAGAGAAGAAAAAAGAAATCATAATCTGATCAAGTATGTTCGATTTTCTCAAATTACATTGGCCACATTTGCTACCTGAAATCATTAAATGATTGTCTCATTTAAAGAGTTAGTAAATGAATCTAAAACAAATTATTTCCTTTCTGAACTCATGAAAGACGTTCTTAAGTTTTTCAAGTAAGCTTGGTGGAAGTCCTTCCAAAGTACAATAGTGTTAGGATGTATTTTTGAGGAACAAAGGAAAATATAATTAAACCAATTTTACTCTAATTATACCTTTTTAACAGCCATTAACAAAAAAAAAAATATATATATACAGGGAGATTTAGTATGTGAACGCTTTCAACTCTGTATACCATCCTTTAAGTTTTTGATTAAATATTAATAATATGGTATCTAAAAGCAAGTTTCCTACTGCTCACATCAACAATTACATCCTCAGAGCAATATTCCCTTAATATGAAAGAACAAATCACAAACATTTTACATTACAGCCTACTTTTCAGTCTGTCTTTTAAGGCACTGTTCTTTTTTTTCCTCAATGATATAAGGTGCTTACATGTATGAACAATAACCTGCTGAATACTAATGGTTTGTTATCTTTTCCATTCATTTCTTTAAACCTGGAATGTAATGCTCTGTGTGGCATCCTATTTCTAATGTAGAAAATATAACTTTATCGAGCACAAAATTTTACTCTAAGGATACAGTTTACTAACTACTACTAAATTTATAAATTTATTACACGTTTGAAACGATAGCCAAAACTCCACCTGATTGATGCTCATTTGGCACATTCTTCTCAATTCTGGTCACTAAACTACATCCTGAGTTAGGATGAAAATAACATAGCTTTCAAGATTTAAAATGACTAAACTGCCAAAAGAGTCATGAGGTTGTCTGTACAGGACAACGTTTTCCATCATTTACAAAAAGTTGTATTTGGCATGTCAAGGAAAGAGAACATAATCCCACAGCAGCAGCCCTTTAAAATAAAAGAAGACAGCCACAAGGACTCATGCAGAGTATTTTAAATATTTGTGTTGAGCAAAATGGTAACCGATTTTTCTTCAAGGATGATGCTCCAAAATATCCTGTATGTATCCTTTGGAAATTAAAGATCTTGGAATAGCGTCTTCACGTGGGATATCTTGAAAGATATTATTTGGTTTCAGTGAATTACACAAATGACATAGCAGTCTGTGTTAATCTGATGTGTTTTACAGAGTGTGGTAGTTTCGTTCTTTAGATTTGCAAAACTTATAGAGAAAGAAAATTACAGCCTGCACACCCAAGACAAGGACAATTCCTCCAATGAAACTGGCTGCATCAAAGGTAGACTTCCGCCCAGGTTGTGAGGTTGGAGTCAAAGTGGCATTTGTCGTACCTATCAGATAAGACAGAAGTAACAGTCCTTAGTAAGGCTCATGATCCTCTAGCATAATTTCAAGCTCCACCTGAAGTGCTTGCTTTGTCATGTGTTACAGTCTATAAGGTATTTCCTCTCCAGTCTACTCTCTAACAGGTAAAATTTATCTGTAAGCAAGGAAGACAACCATTTATTAATTTCATTCTTCAACTTTTCCAAGGACTTCAAAAGGTCAATACTACCATACTATTTCATACGTGTAACGGACAGAAAAATATTCTACTGGTATAAAAATTACACAGAGTCTATGTCAGCCACTTTTAGAATTTGCAGTAATTTCTTCAGACTATTTTTTTGCTTACTGCTTAACTCATTAATTTGTAATTAGTGTCACATAGCCTAAATGAGCATATATGCCCTCCCCCCAAAAACCCCAAATAAACCAGCTGTCCAGTTGATTCTGACTCCTGGCAATCTCATGTGCATCAGAGTGGAACTGAGCTCTGTCAGGTTTTCAAAGCTATGATCTTTCAGAAGCAGATTTCCAGCTCTTTCTTCATAGATACTTCTGGGTAGAACTGAATCGCTAATCCTCCAGTTAGTGGCCAAGCACTTAACTGTTTGAGCCATCCAGAGGATGCAGAATGAGCATATAAAGGTGTATTAATTAATAAAACATTAGTTATTAATATACACACTCCTCATTTAACACGGCTAGGTTCCAAACACCAGGTCATATGAAAAAATTGGCATTATGCAAAAATGGAAGATGAGCATATCACCTCACTCCCTCACTTGTACTGTCCATGTCCTGCCGGGCCTTTGCTGAGGTCACCTGCCAATGCCACCTCTGCCACATAGCTCCAGAAGAGCTTTGAACCCACTGCCACCTGTAGGGGAAAGCTGCTCTGTCTTCTAGAGCCAGGGTGGCCCAAGCACTAGCCCCCTCCTTACCCCTGGCGTCCCCTCTCTCTCCTGCCCTCACAGTACTTTCAGGATAGGTGGCCCTGGCTAATTCCTTCAATGACCCCAAAACACCACTGATGGCTTTGTCACGGGCAGGGGCTCCCTGTCTAACGGCAGTAGGGCCTGGGTACTGCAGGGGAAGTCTATGCTGCTTGCTGGGTCCCACTGGCCACTTGCCCAAGGAGCCGCCAGCTCTGCTCCCATCCACCCTCATGTCTACATGACAATCAACAATCCATAATTTGCTCCAAGGAAGTGATGGTCAGGCTTAGTCTTTGCACTTGCCCTTAAAATGCAGCTGCCATTGGCTACTCACCCACTGACCATACTTCCACCTAAGCAGCCTGCCCCCAGGGCCCTCACCTGTGCCTGCCTGGGAGGGAGGCATCGAGGAAGGATAAGGAGCTGGATGGATGTCCTCAGCTGACATGGGGTCTCACAAAAATCAGGCACTGTAGTGCTGTTTCAGGGCTCCTTCTGACCAAGCCTGGCCTATCCCTGCAGCTCCTCAGCCCTGTAGAGGCTGCCACTGCCTCAGCCTCTTTTGGGTACTCAAGACCTTCCAGGGAGCACCCCATCCTCACTGGCCCTACTCCTCCAGCAGCACCCCTGTGCTAAGCACCCCAGTGGCTTGGGGAGACCACATCCCCTCTCCCCTACCTCATACTATGTAATATAAGCTTCCTTTCTGTGTACACATGGGGTTCACTGGTCAGACCCTGTCAGAAACCTCGGCATTTGTTACCACCAGACACGCACCATTAATGCATAAAATAGTCAGACAGTAGATTTTTTACTATTTTCATAAATGCGAAATGTCAGGTAAAAAGATACTCAAGAGAGGAATAGGTGGTGTATCAAATAAAGTGGCACATGGTTAATCACTCAGCTGTTCCCCAAAAGATCTGTGGTTCAAACCTACTAGCCACTCTGTGGGGAGAAAAGATCTAGCAATCTGCTCTCATCAAGAATATAGCTTAGGAAATCCTATGGGACAGTTCTACTCTGTCATGTTTTAGAATAACAAAAATGAGTAAATATTAACATTTGTATAGAAAATTCATATGGTTTTTGAGTTTTACTATGAGTATGTAAATAATGATTCTATCACAATTTTCAAGTTACAAAAATGATCTCAGTAAATATCTATAATTTATAATTTCAACAACAAAAAACTTCTGCAGTGATACTGCCTCAAAAACCCAAGGAGGGGTCACTATGAGTCGGCTCCGACTTGACAGCAGTGAGTCTGGTTAAAAGCATCCTAAAAAATATACTGTCAAAATCTTTTACATCATGAAAAATTATTACCAAGCAACAAGGAAAAAAAACATGGTATTCTGAATTCCTTTTGAGACAGAAAAAAACATCTTTAGAGGAAAAAAAAAAATTAGACTGAGTGTCTCATCCATTTTAATAAAAAAGTAATTTCATTTTTAAGTGATTTTTATTTTTTCTTCAACAGAGTATCAAATAAACATTAGCTGAGATGACTGTGTAAGCTGGCCAGCTTTAAAACTAATTAGAACTGCTCTGTATTCCTTCTATGAACAGAGTGGCTTCACTGAAACTCAAAGAATGAAGCCAAAAGAACCAAAAAAAGCAGGTAGAGACTCACCAACATCAATACAACAGTTTATTTTAAGTATGAATAGATAGAAGGGCCCTGTGGTAGTTAAGTTTGTGTGTCAACTTGGCTGGGCCTGGCTAAGTGGCTGGGTAGTTGTTCCCCATGATGAGAAGGGGAATCAACTCCACTATGGGATCTACCACAAACAGCTGAGTAGCTGCTTTAGCGATGTGGTCTGCTTTTAGTATATAAGCAGCAGCTTTGGGAATGGTCTCTAGCCTTGTGGCACACTTGAACCCTGCATGTAACCAAGTGATTGTTCAGCAGTCTACCATGCCCTGCTGATCTTGGGACTTCTTCTGGACTTGAATTAGTGGCCTGCCATGTTATTTGGTAACACTGAGACTGTGCCTTTTACATGTTGACGACCTTGGGTTTGGCAGCCTCAGCAGCCAGCAGCTGCCTAAGTGAAGAAAAGCCTCAGCTTCAGTGGGCCAGGAGGAGGCGGCAGAGCTGAAGCCCAAGGTTGAGAGGCTCTCACCCAGCCCCTAGAGCCTGGCACTTTGAACTCAGACTTAAAGCCTCCAAACTGCAAGAGAATAAACTCCTGTTTGTTCAAGCTATTCCATTTGTAGTATATTTCTGTTAAGAGGGGCACTAGGTAACCATAATGGGCTGCTCCTAATGTGTGTACCTTGGATATCCTGCAGTACAACCTAAACAGGATTTCCTTTACAATATGGAAAATTATTAATTAAAGTTAATTTTTGCATGCATTTTCTAGAGTTATAAAGGAACATAAGAAATGTTAAGAAATATGATGAGGTGCACCTCTGGTCATGATCTTAGTTGTTTAGACCTCTCAGTACAAAAGGATAGATATATTATCTTCACTCAAATCACCATGGCCTAACAGAGAACAGAACCCAATCCGTACTATAACCAATGTTCACCCTTTTAAATTATAGCAAATTATAGTTCACTTACAAATTCCACAGAGGAGATTCTGGATAAATATTACTACTTAATTCTAGTGTGTCATGCCAAATCTTAGTACACGTTAAACTAGATGTGGACTCTCAGCAAACTTATCATTAGTGCTGTAACAACCTACTAATTTGGTCCACTAAACCCTAAGATAGGAATTTCAGGCTACAGCCATTCATAAATCAAACTGCAAATGCTGTTAGAGACTGTACAAGGCAGTATTGCACATATATTCTGTATCACTGTTAGTTTAAGAAACCTTAGTTACCTGATGTAGGAACTGTGGTGGAAGCTGTAGTAGAAGGCAGAGTTGTGGTTTTAGCTGGAATGTAAAGAAAATGTATTAAAAACCTTCACTTTCTAACTTCCTTATTATCTACCATCTATCTTTTAAAAATACTATTACCAGCTTCAACATGCTTCCAGTTTTCTAGAGAATAAAGGCCAAATTTCAGTCAATGGTTAACTAATACAGCTAGTATTTAAATGTATTTTAAAGTATTAAGAAGCCATACAATTTTGTCTGCATTAAGATCTTTCTCTAACATCTTTGTTTAAAATCTATGTATACATCTGGATTAAGTTCACAAAAAGAGAGAAGGCCATGAATTAGTATTTAGGAGAGAGGACTACAGCCTCTTTATAATCTAGTTTCTACGAAGAAAAGAAAAAAAAAAAACCAATTAACCTATTAATTTGAAAAGCTAAACAAAAAACACAAATGCAATATGTAGGGTTTCTTATGAATATCAAGATTTACTTCATCTTTGGGAATTATAGATGATTTTAATTTTCTAGACACTTCTGTACTTTCCAAGATTTTTCACAAAATTCATAAAAAGTAAAGTTTGTAAAATGAATGTAAGAACTACAGTAGATCTGCTCAGATCACCGAATGTGAAATGCTAGAGTTAATGTGTCACTGTTAAAAACCAGACATACTGTGGTCCAAATGCAGAAAGTCTTTGTAATTCTTAAAGTTATACTAAAAACTTTTAGGCAATTATTAAAACGTTATCCATCAAGACAGCATGATTCTGAAAGGAGGAGGAAGAAAAGATTGGATTACCTGTAGAATTGGTTGGCAATGGAATGGCAGTGGGTTCTACTAAAAACAAACAAAAACCCAGTATAAATTTAAAGCATTTAAAGTACCACACAGTATTTCCTAACCTGTAGATATCTCAGTACCACTTTCACCATTTTTATAATATTTAAGTACCACCTGTGAAAGAGAATGACAGCTACCCCTACCCTGTATCATTTTCCTTTTCTTTAGAAATATAACCACCAATTTTCAGTGACAACCCTAACCACCCAGGAAAGCTATTTCTTAGCCTCCCCCACTTTGTGGCCAGATAGCCCCTATACATTTTATAGGCCTGCTCCGGCCTTGCTTGGTTGTGAAGTCTGCGAAGTCTAGGAAGTATCCTTAAAGTAGATACAGGCCTCTCTTCCCTTCCTTTTCCTGCCAGTAGAAACATCAGTATGATGGCTGGAACACCATCACCTACCTTGGAAAGTAAGGTTAGTTATTTTTGAGAATGATAACGTGCAGACAGAATGCCCTTTAGAAGCAAGGATGGCCAAGACTTCTTCTCATGTACTTTGGACATTACCAGGAAGGGCCAGTCCCTAGAGAAGGACCAGGACATGCTATGCTTGGGTAAAGTAGAGGCTCAGCAATTAAAAAAAAAAAAAAAAAAGGGGGGGGGGGGGGGGGAGACCCTCAATGAAACAGACTGACACAGTGGCTGCAACAATGGGCTCAAACATAGTAATGACTGTGAAGACGGCGCAGGACTGGGCAGGGTTTTGTTCTCTTATACCAGGGTTGCTACGAGTCAAAGCAACTCGATGGTACCTAACCAGCCAGGGTTCCTAACAGTTAAAGAGCTGCCAAACTAGTCCTTGAGCTGCACTCTAGTCCACATTACCTTTACATGAAAGAGAAGAAAATCTGTCTACTGTTTAAGTCACTGCATAATTTTGAATTTTATGTCCTTCACAATTAAAACTCAAAAGGAGCCCAGGCAGCACAGTGGTTAAGCACTGGGTTGCTAATCAAAAGGATGGCTATTTGAAGCCATCAGCTAGCTGCTCTATGGGTCTGCTTGTGGGTCTTGTAGTCTGCTCTAAAACCCTAAATTTCTTACTCCTGCCTGTAAGCAATAACATCATGAAATCATAGGTCTGTTGTAGTTGTTACTTTTTCCTAAAACATACAACTACTATAAAAAGTATAAAACACAAACGCAACCATTGCTGTGGAGTGGGATACTATTCATAGCAATCCCTCCTGGGTTTCCAAGGTGTTATTATCACTACGGAAGTACACTGCCCAACATTCCTTCCGAGGAGTGGCTAGGGGGTTTGAACCGCCAACCTTCTTGTTAGCAGTCAAATGCCTTAGGTACTACACCACCAGAGCTCCCATAAATCATATGTTGTTGCGTGCTGTCAAGTCGGACCCAACTCATAGCCACCCCTCCTTGGGTTTCCGAGGCAGTATCACTACAGAAATAGACTGCCCAACTTTCCTTCCGAGGAGTGGCTGGTGGGTTTGAACCTCCAGCCTTCTGGTTAGCAGTCAAGTGCCTTAGGCACTATGCTACCGGAGCTCCCATAAATCGTATAGTAGTTGCTATATATCTCCAGTTACATTAAAACAAGTAACTACTAAAAATGTTCATTCATGTATCAGCTAATAGCATACACCCTAGACAGGGTAAAACCGATCTGAATCTAATGCAATCATTAGTTACAAAATTCAAGTTGGTGTAGAGGGGTAGGGAGTCTCTTCCCAAAATTAGTCACAGGTAGTATGGACACATTCCATGCACTGAATTAGCAGTTTTCCCTTCTATTAATTTATAATCTCATTAGGAAAATCAGTTGTTTCATGTAGAAATGTCAATGATTTCCCAGGCAGAAGTAAAAGTCAAAGAGCAAAAAAGTTCCTCAAACTAAAGTACAGGAAATGGAGAAATACAGAGAAGGTTCATTTCTCCATGGCACAAACTAGCTGTGACAATCACCAGCACCAGTCTCCACAATCAAGCAAAGCCAGAATGAGGTTGCCCAGGCCTAGAAAATGCAAATAAGAGGATATAAACTACAGTGAAGTCTTGGAAAATTTATTTAAAAAAAAGGAGGGAAGAGGCATTTATACTTACAGCATTCCACACTATAGATAAACCTTTAAAACCATGCTTTGAAATAATAGCCTTTTCTCAGTCAAGAGGAAGAGCTCTATTTCTTTTGCTACATATCTCCAAATTTCTAACAAGCATAGAATATGGAAATACTTAAAACACTGAAATAGGCATGCTGAAGCTATAATCTTCAGGTCTGTGGCCACTTTCCCTAGCAGCAAATGTGAAAACTTACCAGAACAGAATTCTGTGCTATTCACCATGTGGCAATCACCGGCTGTTGAATTATGTGTACAATGGCTCTTATTTGCTATTTTAAAAAAAGGACAAACAGCACCAATTACTTACATTATCTTTGACTTTATTACTAAGTTCCAGAATTGATTCTAGAAATATTAAACCCAAGTACAAACAATTTAGAAGGCTAAGTTATTCTTCCTCATTGTCTTAGTATCACCAAGAAAGCTCTCCCAATTTCATTCTTTTAAAATCCACATACAGAACAAACAATTTTTAAACGCTTAGTTGACTGTATAGTCAGAAGGCTGCCAGAATCCACAGGAGAGGTCTGAGACAGAAGCAGTCAGGATATTTAATAAAGACTTAGTAATAAGCAGAGGAGATATTCTCATAGCAGCAGTATGAGAATCTGTTCCAGATCTTACTGCTCTAGTCTTCTATACTCTCAATAGCTTTCCTGGATAGGTAGACTTAGAGCAAGAGTTAAGAGGAAACCCTTCCTCAGCACATCCTAAAGTAGAGCATTCCTCTCCAGAATTTGCCAATTTCTACTATATGCTACACTGCCACGCAAAGGGGTAGGAGGGACACCCTTACACTCCATTTCATGGCCTTAAGCAAATGTGACTCTTGTACAACAGAAAAGTTAATTTAACCCTAACTTAAGCTAATACTTATTCTTTACCTAGAATAAAAAATCTTAACATATGGTTTTGGCTTTTTATTATCTTTTTAAATCAGATACATTGTTTTGCTGACAAAAACTCAACTATCTGACATTAAATTAAGAAAAGAGATTAAATATGCCATAATATCATGGTCTGACAAAAAACCTCCAGGTATTTCAACATGCAGCTTTTTATCCCTCAATCAAATGTATGTATAGGTAGCTCACTTTAAAACTTAACATAAGCACTGGAAAGAGTCAACTCACTCCCCACCTCATGCTTCCGTTGTATCTAAGCATCCAACAAAGTTTCATAGTCTCTTCTAACTTCACAGCTCACCCTGCAGGACAACCAGGGTTTGTCCTGTCTTCCTTAAATCACCAGGGGAAAATATCACAACTTTCTTCCATAGCTAATTCCAGTGTTTTAGTACTCTTAATCCTTCCAAAGGTCTAAAATCTCCCTCCCTTCAAAAACAGTTTAGCCTTGATTGGTGGGGGCAAGAAGAGATTTTACAGGATAGGGGGGTAGTTGTGTTAACCAATTACTAAATTAAAAGCAAGTATTTGGTTTGCAGAAGAAGTAGTGCAAATTACACCAAATCCAAAGCCTCTTACCTTCTTTACAGTCTATCCAGAAGCAGGTGGTATTGACAATGCTAGCATTAAAACAGGAGACACAGGTGTGGTGGCTTTCACAGGTTTCTGGGAGGGAAAAATGTATGAAATCAGCAAACTAATTGTTATCTTATTTCGAGTTTGTTCTACTTTTTAAAACAATGATAAGCATTATATACAATAATTTCTAATTCAGAGAAATGGGAAAATTTTATAAACACTGGCTTACTAAGAAATTCCAGTCATAAACTACAAAGTAATAAATCAACGTAAAAAAAAAAAAACCAAGAAGTTAGTGGACATCTAAACAAGCCTTTTTCACTGCACAACTATCCGAAAGGCATCCATAGATGCTGTTTCTTGAGGCATCTGTAAATATCCTTAAAGATATATATGTTGGGAAAAAAGTATTTTCCCCTACATTATAAGAAGCAACATTACAAATACGGAAATCAGATGATACGTTGGGATTTTTAATACTAATAAAATAACAGGTTGAATCCAAACTCTGATGATGCCCATTATGAAAATGAGTTAACCTCCTAGGGATTTTTGAATTATAAATGGTTCACTCTTCACAGAAGAGATATTATCTGGAGGGGCCACATCCATGTAGCATATATAATTTAACAAGTTAACAAGGTCCTTGGTCAACAGCAGTTTAAGCAAATGGTGCAGAGAAAACCTAATCAGATTCCTATGTCCAAACAAACAACTGGAATCCAGAAATGGGATCTATCAATCTTCCTAGAATCTAGACACCTTGGACAAGTACTTCCACTTGCTTTCCCCTGCTTAAAAAACTTCTGAAGCATTGCCTTTGAATATTTTCATTATTAGCATTTATTAGAGGCTGAGACACATATGGTACCTTTGAGGGGGGGTCACAAAGTAAAAGATAAAGTTCTTCTCATATTTTCATACACATGAAATATGCTAGCTTTTCAAAATCTTTTGTGCTTGCTGATGAATGTTTGGGTAGCACAGTGCGATTTTAACCGGGCTACCTTTCAGATTACAGCTTATCCAACTGAAATTCCAGAAACATAAAACATCTCTTTTACATGCATCTCAACTACACAAGCAACCAACTTCACATTTCAACTTTCCTTAAAAAAAAAAAACCAAAAAAACCCAACTACAATTCTGGGAGAAAACTGCCAGATCAACAGGAGACAAAAATATTCTGCTTTATCATCTTAAAATTCCCACTAATGTACTGCAATCTCCTTTCCTCATTTTTAAAGTTTTATTATTACATGTTTCTAAATCTAACAAATTATACTAAACTATATATTAACTACATATCTTATTACATTAACAGTCTAAAAAAACCACAAAAACTAGGGAAGACATTGTGGAACAAGATGATCAGCGTGAAAATAATGCTAAGATAAAATCCTGACACTTCAGCAAGCCTTCGGTCAAAAATCCAAGTCACTTTTCATCCAATATTAGCCAGAACCACCATTCACATTAGATTGTAGGTTTAAAATATCTAATGTTTCTTCACTTTACTACTTCAAACTGTCTTCCTTTTTTTTTTCTGTGTTTTCACGACATAGATCAATTCCTTGTGATTGTTTCCATGCTATAACCGGCCCCTAAATCGACCGAAGACCTGGGTCGGGTTTTAGGAAATCGACAGCCTTAGGTTCCAGCAGTCCAAGCTCCACCACCTACTAAATAGATGTCCCCGGGAACTGCTTTACCTCCGATACCACCTACCTCCCAAATTTGCCTATGGCCCTTTTCTTCTTTTGCATATTGACAAGGGGTGTGAAGTTTCTATTCACTAAACCCTCAAATCCCAGATGCATCTCTTACCAACCAGCAAAAATCAATCTAATTAAATCTCACACATGACTTATTTTCTCAGACCCAAGGCTGAGACACGAGCGACTAGTACTGTACTTGAGTTTTTCCCTCTCTTCTCTAACTTCCGAAAAAGCTGCCCTCAGGAGACGACCAGAGTGAATAAACGACCAACATCAAGGAAAGGGAATTCGGTCTCGCCTCCAACTTTCGAGGCACGGTGCCTCTCCCCGGAACCACCCTCACTGCCTTCTCCACAGAAGGAGCTACTTTCCCTCTTCCGAACCTACGGTGGGCCTGGAGATTAGGATGCACTCTGAAAAAGCACCTCGGAGTTTAACACTTTGAATGTCGGGTCCAACGGCTACCTTGCCTCTTCCGCCCCTTCCCACCCCTCATCTGGCCCCGTACTGGACTCGCAGCGGGCCGCCATGTTGCCAGAGTCCCACCGCACCCTGAGCGCAGCCCGTCCTGACTCTGGCCCCGCGCGCACCGAGAAGAGAGAGCGCGTCTGGGCAAGCGCTAGCACACACAGGAAACCCGTTGGGCCTAGACTCACCTGGTGCTGTTGTGGGGGTCGGCACTTTCGTCGGCGTTATCTTGGTGGTGGGCGTCAAACTCGTGGTAGTAGTCAGGTTAGGGGCCAAGGTGGTGTTCGAATCCACAGACAGCACACAAAGCACCACCAGGGAAGTGGCGGCCAAAAGACGCGGGAGGGAGAGCCCCGACATCTCGTACTCGGCGTTGAACCCCGGCGAAAGCTGCGGCGCAGAACGCTCCCTGGGCCCTTCCTTCCTCTGCTGCGCCGCCTCCAAGACTTCACTCCCCCAGCGGCCGAGCTCTGAGGTCACGTGAGGGGCCCGAGGGCCTGGCGTGCGGGGGCGAGGTGGAGCGGAGGCGGGCCGCGGAGCATACCAACAGGAATCCTCTGGGAGGGGGAAAGCAGGGGTGGCGAAAGGAAGCCGGGAGAGGTTGTCCTGCAATGCGATGTATTACACGAAAGAAACTGGCTAAACAAAGAAAATAGTTTTTCGTACTCTTCCATTACTACACAGGACGCAGCTAGGTTATTCTCATGCCTGCAATATGGCTGGTTTCCACCCTGCCTGCAATATGGCTGGTTTCCACCCTGATTTGGATGGAACAATTTACATGACGTGGCCTACGGCGTCCACCTGAACGCCCAACGAGGCCGTAATTCCGCGGTCCCACGTGACCTCTGGCCATTGCTAGGGGCCCCCCAACCCCTTCCACCCCCGCCTTTTCTCGGGCCTTAGTTGCACCGGGCGGAAGTTGCATCCCTGTGGTGCACAGAACCTGGGCGAGAATGAGTTTGTGCAATGATTCTGCGTCCCCAAAATGTTTACATATATCCCTAGTAGAACCCGCGCTTTTTAATTTGAAAATCGATTTTGCTGATAGTAACTTTGTGATGGGATTAACTAGAGAAATGGAGACGCCACGTGGATAAAGAGTTTCTGCTGGGCCCCCCGCTTAGTATGAGCGCTAAGGTAGGGAGAGGCAGCAGTCACCCACGTGCTGGGCAGAGCTGCATACTGCCTATCTCTGTCACACATTCCCAGCCTGATTTTTCCATTTTTCTTGCTGATATTACTACAATCAAGGGTCTGAGCGGGGAAGTCATGTAATCAATTCCCATCGTCAGTTTCTTTTGTTCTTGTTATGTGCCCTCGAGTTGGACGGACTCAGCGACCCCTCTTTGGGTTTTCTTGGGTTTCTGAGGCAGTATCGTTACAGAAGTATCACTACAGAAATAGCGGTTATCACTATTGCCCAGTCTTCCTTCCCAGGAGTGGCTGGTGGGTTTGAACTGCCAGCCTTCTGGTTAGCAGTCAAATGCCTTAGGCACTACGCTGTCAGAGCTCCTTGTTGTTGTTGTTGTTGTTATGTGCCGTGGAGTCGGCCCCGACTCATAGCGACCCCTCCTTGGGTTTCCGAGGCAGTATCACTACGGAAGTAGGATTGCCCAACCTTCCTTCCGAGGAGTGGCTGGTGGGTTTGAACCACCAGCCTTCTGGTTAGCAGTCAAGTGCCTTAGCCACTATGCTACCAGTGCTCAGAGCTCCTTAGGTACGGTGACATAAGTTCCCACTCATGGTGACCCTGTGCACAATCGGGTCCTGACATCTTTACTCACAGTGGTTGCTATGTTTGAGCCCATTGTTGAATCCACTATGTCAATTCATGTCTTTGAGTGTCATCTTTTTTGCTGACCCTTTACCAACTATGATGTCCTCCAGGGACTGGAGACATGTCAAAAGTAAGAGAGAGGAAGTCTCATTGTCTTCACTTCTAAGGAGCATTCTGGCTGTACTTCTTAGATTTGTGCGTTCTTCTGGAAGTCCTTGGTATTTAGTATTCCTCACCAATACCATAATTCAAATGCAATTCTCCAGTCTCCCTTATTCATTGTCCAGGTTTTGCATGCATATGAGGCAACTCAGCTTGGGTTAGGTGCGCCTTAGTCCTCAAAGTGACATCTTTGCTTTTTAATACCTTAAAGAGGTGCTGCAGATATGCCCAATAGGTCACTTGATTTCTTGACTGATGCTTTCCATGGGTGCTGATTGCAGATCCAAGTGAAATGAAATCCTTGACAACTTCAATCTTTCTGTTTTTCATGGTGTTGCCTATTGGACCAGTTGTGAGGATTTTTGTTCTATGTTCAGATGTGGTCCATACTGAAGACTGTAGTCTTTGATCCCCATTGTAAATGCTCCAAGTCCTCTTCACTTTCAGCAAGCAAGGTTGTTAATGAGCCTGCCTCCAATCCTGATGCCATGTTCTTCTTCATATAGCTTCTTGGATGATGCTTAGCATACAGATTGAATAAAGTTGGTGAAAGAACACAGCCCTGATGAACACCTTTCCTGATTTTAAACCATGCAGTATCCCCTTGTTCTGTTCCAACAACTGCCTCTTGGTCTACGTACAGGTTCCTCATGAGCACAATTAAGTGTTCTGGAATACTCATTCTTCACAATTTTATCCATAATTTGTTATGAGCCACACAGTTGAATGTTTTTGCATAGTTAATAAAACACAGATAAACCTCTTTCTGGTATTCTCTGCTTTTAGCCAAGATCAATGTGACATAAGCAGTGATATCCATCATTCCATGTCCTCTTCTAAATCCAGCTTGAATTTCTGGTAGTTCCCTATTAATGTACTCATTATTTTTAAAATACCTTCAACAGAATTTTACTTGTGTGCGATATTAATGATATTATTTGATAATTTCCACATTCTGTTGGATCACCTTTCTTTGGAATGGGCACAAATATGGATCTCTTCAAGTCTGTTGGCCAGATAGCTATCTTGAAATTTGTTATAGATGAGTGAGTGCTTCCAGCATGGCATCCATGTGTTGAAACAATTCAGTTGGTATTCCATCAATTTCTGGAACTGTGTTTTTTGCCAATGCCTTCAGTGCAGTTTCAACTTCTTTCTTCAATAACACTAGTTCTTGATCATATGTGACCTCTGAAATGGTTGAATGTCAACCAGTTCTTTTTAGTACAGTGGCTGTATTCTTTCTATCTTCTTGGATGTTTCCTGTATCATTAAATTTTTTACCCATAGAATCCTTCATTATTGCAACTTGAATTTTTTCTTCAATTCTTTCAGCTTGAGAAATGCTGAGCATGTTCTTCCCTTGTGGTTTTTCTAACTACAAGTCTTTTGCACATTTTATTTTAATACTTTGTCTTCTCAAGTCACCCTTTGAAATCTTGTGTTCAGCTCTTTAACTTATCAATTCTTCCTTTCATGTTAGCTGCTCTGTGTTCAAAAGAAAGTTTCAGAGTCTATTCTGACATCCCCTTTGGTCTTTTCTTTCTAATGATCTTTTGCTTTTTTCATGTTTGATGTCATCCCACAAGTTGTCTGGTCTTCAGTCATTAGTGTTGAATGCATCAAATCTATTTTTGAGATGGTCTCTAAATTCAAGTGATATAAGGTCACACTTTAGCTGTCATGGACGTGTTTTAATTTTCTTCAACTTCAGTCTAAACTTACATACAAGCAATTGATGATCTGTTCTGTAATCGCACCCTGGCCTTATTTTGACTGATAGTGAATTTCTCCATTGTCTCTTTTCACAAATGTAGTCCACTTGATTCCTGTGTATTCCATCTGGCCAGGTTCATGTGTATAGTTACCCTGTATGTTGTTGAAAAATTACTTGAAATGAATAATTTGTTAGTCTTGCAAAATTCTATCATGCGATCTCTGGCATCATTTTTATCACCATGGCCATATTTTCCAACTACTGATCTTTCTTTGTTTCCAACTTTCACATTCTAATCACCAGTAATTATCACTGCATCCTGATTAGATGTTTGATCCATTTCAGATTCCATAAGTTGGTAAAAAAATCTTCAATTTCTTCATCTTTGGCATCAGTGGTTGGTGTGTAAATTTGCACAATAGTTGTATTAATTGGTTTTCCTTGTTCACGTATGGATATTAGCCTGTCATTGCAGTTGTACTTCACAATAAATCTTGGATCTAGTACCTATAAAGTGATACATAGCTTTATAGATGAGGAAATAGACAAAGAGTGAACTAACTTAGACATATGACTGCATGGTATTTAAACTGGATTTTTAAGTATCCATTGTTGTTGTTGTTAAGTGCCGTTGAGTCGTTTCCGACTCATAGCGACCCCATGCACAGCAGAACGAAACACTGCCCGATCCCGCACCAGCCCCACAATCCCTGCTATACTCGAGC